ATTTAATGTTAAATTATAATACACTCAACTAAATATCGATAATAAACTTAAGTATCTTAACAGATCGAAAACACAATTGAGCTATACAAGATGTAATAATTATATAAAATTTATTATTATTAATATCATACGGAACGTTTCAATTTTACTGTGTCCTCATCAGCCGTACATAACCCACACAAATTAAAACACATCAAATAAATTTAAGTTACGCCAACGCATTATAAATTACGTGGTATTAAAGTTCAAAGTAAAAATTATTAACAATTAAAAATTACGCAGTATAAAACATAAATTTTCACAAAAGTTTGAGCTTCATTTATAAAGTCGATGGACAGTCATTTAATCAAATCGTAAAAAAAAAGGATTGTATTGGTTTTTTCTTATAATTTGATTATATGAATTTATTTATTATTATACTGTCCATAAACTTCATAAATAAAGCTTAGACTTTTGTGAAAATATGTATTTTAATAATAACTGCGTTGACGTAACTTAAATTAAATTTATTCAATTTATATGTTACAATTTATTTAAGGAAGTATATTATTAAATAAATTAATTTAATTTAAAAAGGTTTGTTTTTCCTCTAAATGGATTGACAAAGGATGGCTGTAAGATGATATTTTTCTCATTACTGGACAGTGATCCTTCTTCCTTTGACTGGATTTACAGTTTCAAATATGCCACAATGTCATTGGACATACATTTATTGATGGATGGTACGACTAATGGTAGTATTTTCATTGTTGACGCTAGCAAATTCTCCTTTGGTCATGTTAGACGATTGAATCCATTGGCAATGAAGAAATATATGTACTACGTTCAAGAGGCTGCTCCAGTACGATTAAAGGCACTTCATATTATAAATGCGTTACCTGCCATGGAATTGTTTATCAGCTTGATAAAGCCTTTCGTGAAAAAAGAGTTGATAGACATGGTAAGTATTATAAATCAATCATTTAAATTCAGTTGCGTTTACTTAACACAACAGCCGATTTTTAAGAAGTGTATTAATTTCCTACAAGCGTGATATAAGCGCGATCAAATAATTCAAATGTAATTAATAACTGTTTCTAATTGTACTCTTATAAATTTACATTTAAATGAATCAAGAATTTTACACAAAATATAATTTTGTATAACAATCTCGCGATAAATGTAAAAACTTTTTAGTTTAATTATCCATAACATCATAACGTTAAGTTGAAAAATTATATTCACAATACTGTACTATTATACTAACAATTAGATAGTAGTAGTAGTAGTAGTAACTAAGTGCAAGTGGGTTTGGTAGCCTTCCCAGACAGCACACAACATCCATTGGACATCCAGACTTGGTTTCAATCTGATCCATACGTCCATGGATTTAGTACGAATGTTTTAAAAACGTACGTTGTTCAACGTATAAAGTATGTTTACATTTGAACATTTAAAAAATGTTTATCTCATGCAAAAAATTTTCTAAGTCTGCTTGTGACGTATTGCTTTCGTTGACTTGCGAGGTGAAAATTTTTTTATGATTGCACGAGGAGTTTTACTTTTGATATCTCCGGTAACGCGAAATATTATTAAATTAAAGCTTAATTCAGATATGCAACAAGCGACAAGCAACAATAGCTTGCTGCTCGCAATCATAATAGTTTTAGGAATCATTTTGCTTTCAGTGTGCAAATTTGTCTGGATTGTGGTCAAAAATTTATTTAATATATTAATTTAGTCCAGTTTTAGTCCATTGCATCCTAAAATGGACGTTTTTAAGAAGTCCAAAATGGTAACACTGGATATTTTTAAAACGTTTTTAAAATATCCATGGATCTAATCTGGATGTTTTTAATATGTCCAAACGTCCAACATGTACGTTTTAAATACATTTTTTAAACATTACTGTGCTGTCTGGGTTCCAACGCGACCTAGGTCCATGTGGTTCCTTTGTCGCTCCCTGCTTATTCCGTAGGTCATTCAGTCAAGCCCAGCCTCGTGTCACTTACCAGGCTTATTAAACTGCTAACCTTCGCATTTTCTAGATCCTTGGATGTCATAAATATGTCGCCAGGATTTATATCTTTTGCAAGCGGGTGCAGAACATCAGCACAGTAAGTGCAGGTTGTCCTTCTTCTCCACATAGCCGGCATTCTTTCTGCTCCGCTAGTCCTAGGTTGAATAGATGTGCTCTGAGGGACATATATCCTGTCAAGAGGCCTATACCTCTCCTCAGTTTTTCTTTTCCCATCGCCAGCAATTTTTTGGTTCTTGCTGGTTTTGGAAGTCTCATAAGTTGTTTGGCTCGTCTGCAGCCCTCTACCCCCTTCCAGGAGTTCGAGTGCTCCCGTTCAAGCCACTCTTTAATAGTTTTTGTTCCTGCTGAAAATGGGACCCCGACGATCCGTTCAGCCGGGACCTTTTCGGTGCCCAGCTTTGCCAGCTCGTCCGTTCTCTCATTTCCAGGTATACCCTGATGTCCGGGGACCCATACTAGGGTTAATTACCTTGTTTGTTACCCCTAGTGTTGTGAGTGCTTGCATACAGTCCCATACCACAGATGATTCTGTGGAGGTTCTCGCAAATGCTTCGATAGCTGCTCTGCTATCCGTGTAAATATGTATCTGGTTTTTGCTTTTCCCCTTTAACAGGAGTTCCGCACATTTTTGGATGGCCAACACTTCAGCTTGAAACACTGTGGCCTGCTCACCCATTGGTATGCTTACCTCGTGGTTAATATTGGGCCCATATATACCTGCCCCATATCGACTGTTTGCTCCCGATCGATCCGTGAACCAAGTGTCTACATCTGGATTGGTTTGCTCCAGTCCTCCCTAGTCGGTGTTTGAACTTTAAAAGTCTTCACCAACTGGTGTCTTCTGGGGATCCTGTCTTGTTTTAGATTGAAAGGGTGTTTATCAGAAAGTCCCAGTCTAGTGTGTCCAGTCCTGGTTTCCTTCCACTCACTCTGACATGTTAATCTGTATGCAGTATGCCTGGCTGTGTATTTGATCACCTGGTTTAGTGGCGGAATACTGAGTGCTACTTGCAGCGCCTCAGTTGATATAGTTTTCATGGACCCTGCTACAACCCTCAGGTATCCTCCCTGTAGGCTTTTGAGCAGGTTCCTTGCCTCCAACGTTTCCGCCCTTGATCACCAGACAACTGCCGCATACGTGAGTCTTGGTAACAATACCATCTTGTATAGCCATAAGGCTGTCCTGAGGTATACTCCCCAGTTCTTTCCCATGGCTCTTTTACAAGCCCACATAGAGGTGTAGAATTTCTTCCTCTTTTCCTCGAGGTGTGGTTCCAGCTCAATTTGGAGTCTAATAGGACCCCCAAATATTTTACTGTATTTACGTAATTTATTTCCTATCCCCAGAGCTTTAGTGTTTCAATGGATTCCGGTTTGTATATTCTGGTGAAGATCATGGCCAAGATCTTTGTGGAGTATACCATCAGTCCCCCTCGTCCTACACCAGTAACAATTAGATAAGTTTTTCTAAATTTACTTAACTCTTCTAGATATATATTCACTCATCGTTAGAGAGCCTTTCTAAATATATCCCAGTGGATGCGTTGCCAAACGAATCAGGAGGAAAAGCCGGTTTCATGCACAAATTAGCTGAAATTCAAGTGAAAAGATTGGGAGACTGTCGCGAGTGGTTTCTATTGGATGAATCAACCAGACGCGTTAACGAAGCATTAAGAATCGGCAAGAGCAAAACAACAAATGATTTGTTTGGTACAGAGGGTAATTTTAGAAAACTTGACATAGATTAATAAACATTTATAATTTATTTGATTTTACTAATTATGCTATTATTACGTAATATTAATATTATTTTTCATCACACGTGCACGTAATGTGTCCTATACCGCAACGCTTTTGCGTGCGAGAAATAGCCAATAGCTCAAGCCGTTGAGGAATTTCTCTAACCACACGCAAAAGCGTTACGTTATGAAAAATAGCGCAACGCAGTGATAGCGCTCGTATAAATATAAACGGAGGGTCCTTTCGTGGTATCTAGGGGGGGGGGGGG